CCCGGAGGTGCCGGGTCCCGCCGGGGTCCCGTTGGAGCAGGAGCTCGCTGGACAGGTCAGGAGGCTGCTGCGTCTTCCTACAGGACAGAAGCGTGAAACGGGACGTTTCCTGACTGAGTCAGAATCCCCCTTTCCCCCTTGTGGATTGAATTACCGTGGATGGGATCAGATCCGCTGCTCCTGTCAGTCCGTGCTGTCCTGCAAAAGGCATCGGCAGCTGCAGCTTCAGGTTTCCCCTGGCGAGAGCCTGGACCCCGATGCCCGTGCGGCTGTGTCGGGGTCCCGGGGAGCACAGTAGTGCTCCCTCCAGGGACGTCTTCTACTAAGTGTGGATGTCAGTTAAGGAGAAAAGTTACTTTAGTAAGTGGAACGATCTCATACTCCCTTCCCACAAACAGCATCCTCAAGGATCCTTACCGCTCACATAATGCCTTTGATTTCAAACCTGCATAGCTGTGCCAAAGCAGAGTTGTGCTCTAGGCAGATGGGCACACGTTCCTGTGATTTGTCCTTTTCCTTTCAACACAGAGCTGGAAAATGGGTTGGAAATAGGTTAATTCCAGAGTGATTTATACAAGATATATCTGTGGATGAGGCCAGGCTGGCAGACCTGTAGACCCACAGCTCCCAAGGGCAGCAGGGAGCATGAAGTGGGGCTGCTGGGATCCCTGAAACCTGCCTCTCCCCTCCTGAGGAAGGACACCCAGTGCTGCAGGACCATGCACTGGGCTCCCCTGCTGCTGGGGCTGTTCAGGATGGTGTTGGTGCTGGATGCCCCCATGCCTTTGGTGCCTGACAACTATTGGGCTCTCAGCTGCTCCCTCAGCACCTCTGTGTCCGAATCCTGCTGCTCTTGGCAGTTGTCAGGGATAAGTGGGATGGACAGGAGCCTCTTGTGTCTATTCATACAGCTGATTCATTAGCTGAGTAATAAGGAAAATGTGTTGGCAGGATGTGGTCAGGCACTGTGAAGGGACAGCTGCTCCCCAGGGAACAGCAGCACCTGCTCCCTGAGGTACAGCAGTGCCTGCTCACTGTGAGCTGGCAGAGCTGCTGCTCTGCTGGGTGAGGTGTTTCTGTGTTATTTCTTGTGATTTGTTTGTCCTGGAGGTCAGGGACTCAGCTCTACTTTGACTTGTATTGCCTCCACAGCCTAACCTTTTCCAATAGTTTTCTTTCTTTCGCTGCTCAAGAGCTACTTTATCAAACTTGACTTGTAAGGCAAAATATTAAAGAAAATGCATTAATATCTGACACCAAACCAAACTGAAGAGCACAATATTCTGATCAAATCAAATGCACAAAAGGATGATAAAGTTGGGTAGCCTGCAGTCCGATGCAAAGGCTTATTTGTGGTGTGTTACTGCATATAAGAAATGTCACAATTACTTAGATAATTGATGTAATGTCTAGTCTTTGAATAGGTTAAAAAAGCTGTTTGTGTTGACTTTAGACAAAAAAAGAAGAGCAGTAGCATTTGAATGATCATCCTAAAGTTTCTGAAGACAAATGCATTTTCCAGTGAGGTTAATGCTGTAGTTAGGTTTGTCTGTGTTCTGAGGGAGAATAAATTGAAGTATCAAGCTTGAGCTGCTCAGAAAGGCTGGGATTTGTCCCAGCATTCAGCAGGTCATGTTCCACTGAAATCATTGGGACTCAGGGTTGTGCATGCCCTTGTAAGTTGATAATGTCTGTTGCTGTAGGTGCTGAGCATGGTGGCTCTTCTTAATGTGTTTGAATGGGCTCATCCACATCTTTAAACTGATAGAGCAGCAGAGGAGCTGGGCTGGGAACCGGGGAGTTCCTCATGCCTGAGCTCAGCATCGGGGGTCACGCATGGGGGGTTTGCCTCAGGTGCTCACAGGGACTTTGGTGGAAGGCAGCCCTTGGCTCAGTGTGTTCAGAGGGGTGTGGGCTGGCCTTCAGCAGCTCTGTGTGCCTGAGGCACCTGAGGGCTGAACCAGCAAGGGAGTGAACCCCTGTTCCCTGACAACTAACACTGGAGGTCCTGGCAGGGTGTGCTGTCCTACACTGACCCAGCTCGGGCACAAGGTGCAGAAATGCAAGGAGAGGGACTGAAGCCAACTGAGAATATGTGTGGGGGGAAATAATGTATGAGTCTAGGCTGACCTGCAAGTGTTTTTCTCTAAAGCAATTGTTCTTGGTTGTCAGGTTGTGTTGGTTGGCTGGAGCCTGGGCAGATGATCTCCTGGGAGGAGAACTGCTGGGAACTGCCCAACACAACTGTGGGACAGGTCTGAAATAAGGAAGGTTGTACTGAGCTATGTCAAAAAATGTCTTTTCTGGAGAAGGCATGTTACTGGCATCACTCCTGTAACCTCCCACACCCCCCTTTTCTTACTCTTCCTCCAGTCATCCCCTGTGTGGTATCTCAGTGGAGCGCCTGGAGTGGCTGTGCAGAGCCTTGCAAGACAACGTATCGTGTCCGGACGAGGCACATTGTCCAGGAGCCCAGGAATGGGGCAGAGGCATGTCCTGCTCTGGAGGAGAGGGCTGGCTGTGTGGAGTACTGGACTCAGCAAGGAACAGAGTGCAAACAGTCCCTGAGTGAGTCCACTGAAAATAAAAGTATCTGGGGGGGGTGATCGTGGGGAGGACTCTGGTTTGGGTCAGCAGAGCTGGTCTTCACTGTATTTGAAGAGTTGTTTTCAGGCACCAGCCTATTTGCCCTGGCCCTGCCTGGGTAAGTGAGAACTGAGCTCTTCACACAGGGCTTCCATGTGTCCTTCCCAGTGTTGGAGGTGGTGCCTGCCATTAGCTGTGTTCTGCTCAAAAGTGAGATATTACAGGCCTGTTGTGCTCTCCCTTATACAAGCGTAAATCTCTGGCAATTTTGATAGGGTTGGCAGATATATGTCTGTTTAAAACTTCTGTAAGTGGATGTTGAATACTTTTTTTTGTCATTTATATATTTTTTTAGTTTCATTTTATGTGTTATCTGCAAAAAGTCACAAAGGAGCAATACCTGTCAGATAAGATATTACTTCTCTGCACTGGAGCAGAGTGCAGGCAGAGGAGACCTCCAAATAGTTTCTGGAGAAAAAGCCTGATTTTAGTTGGTTCAAATCAGCTTTTCATGGCACACCTTTACCGAGTTTTAGAAGAATTACTTGTCATTTTTGCTGATTTTGGGGTCAAAATTTATCCAGTCTGGATGTCAGCAGCAGCTGACTTCAAACCTGTTGAGAGTGGGCATTAAGTGGACGTTGTCTCCCTCTCTGTCTTTTGGATGTGCCTACAAGTAGGCTTACTCTGCTCAGGCTAAAATCTGGCAGCTCTACAGATTCTCTTTCCAGTGAAATGGTTGACTGTCATGGATAATACGAAAATACAAAGTTAGAATTGTTTTTGTCTCCTGCTGAAGATAAACCCCTATGACATTAAAAGCCCATCTTTGCTGTTTTGCAGACGTGAGGAGCCTTAGTGCAGCATTGCCACTGACGCTCTGTACCCTTTCTCTTTGGTAAACACAGTCCCTGCATTAATAACTACGGGAGGGTTTGGAAAAGCGAGGAAGAAAAGAGCTGCAGCTGATGGCAAGGAAAGAGCAGGGTAAGTTGGAGGAGGCTGGGCCCAGGGACTCAGTTGTATTCCACCTGCAGAGTCTCTCTGGTTGCAGTTTGTGGCCCAGCTTTTCGCCACTCAGAGCCAGTGTTCCCCAGCAGAACGGCAGCATGGGAAGCACATCCCTCTCCCATTTCAGTCCCTCTTGGCTGTAACATTGCCTGTTTTCCCCTGCAGCATTGTTTCACAGCACAGGTACAGGCAGGGCTGTGCTAAAAGCTCTGTTGCTTTTTACCTTCTGCCATGTCTGTGTGTGCTGCCCTGCCTCCAGGCTGGTGCCTCAAACACAGGGAGCTGGCATCAGCCTTCCCAGTCCTCCTCTTTCCCAGTTGGGCTCCTTGCTAGCAGGGACACAGTGCTGATGGGAAAGGTTATCTTCCACCCTGTAACCCCTCATACACAGCCTTGCAAGCTGGTGATTCCCCAGGGGTTCTTCCTGCAGTCCCTGGGCTTTGGCTGTTTCTTTCTCAGGTTTGGCTAAAATCAGAAGCATGGAAGTGCTGTGTCAATCTGGTTGTCCTCCCACTGAGATGTGACAGCCTCACTCTCTTAGGAGGGAGATCATGACAGGAAAACCTTTACAGACTGACTCTTAGGTTCTGTCACAAGCTGCTGTACAAAACCCATTACAGGTAACAGGTAGGAGTTGGTAGAGAAAGTGTGGCTCAGCAAATGGATACCAGGCTTGGGATTAGATTAGTCAAATGCTTGACCAATCTGTGTCTCTATTTGTATTTTTGACATGTCAGTTGAAAGCACCAACAGAGTAGTTTTATTCCTTATTTAACCTTATTAAAATGCAAGCACACCACGTGTTCTGCTTTTAATGACCTCGGGTGTGGGGTTCGTTTGGTTTGGTTTTTCTTAATTAGTGATCTATGGTCTTCCAGTTTAGTCTGGCAGTCCTGTGGAGGGCTCTAGCCTGGTTATTGAGCTGACTGACCCTCTCAGTGACTTTGCTTGCAGGTACTGTGTTGAGTTCCAGCTGGTGGCCATCACGCCGGGCTGCCTGCACAGCCACCACTCGTACACCCGCTGGATGCGCTACCTCAGGGAGGGCCACACGGTCTGTGTGGAGTGTCAGCACCCGGCCCTGGACTCCAGGAGTCAGCATTGCTCCGGGGATGGCACTGGGAGCACAAAGTAAGAGTTTCAGCTTTTGTTTTCATGTTGAATTTTTCATTCTTCTCCCTTGATCCACTTGTTCCAGTGTCCCAAGGCGCTGCATGGAGCTCTGTGGAGCACTCTACATATATTCACTGCTCCTTGTTGCATACCATGAGTTTCTTGAAGAGTTGAAATGACCTGGTGAAGCTCATGTATTAAACCAGGGCAGTACCAGGACTGGATGTGGGAGTACCTGCCCTTAGTCTGCTAAATCTCACTGGCTTTAGGGTGGCACACTTGTGGAGTTTTTTTGTTTTAAAGACACTCCAGCCAGGCTTCTAAGGCTAATAGTCCTGTCAGATGTCAAATAAAGCCAATTCTGCTTCTGATTTTTCAGCACTGGGGATTTTGTTTCTCCAAGTGACCCTTTCTGAGTACTTGTGGTGAATGGTAGCTGCCTTAGGGACTTGGGGTACGTGGTGGCATCTGAGGTTGGATGGAAGTGGTAGTCTGGTAAGTCTCTGTACATTCAGCATCCTTTCCCTGGAGACCTGAAGAAGCTTTGGGGTGATTGATTTGCACCACTCAGGTTGTAGAAATTGGGCAGACTCTGGCAAAGATGAAGGGAATGGCTTGAAGCTGTGAAACACCTCTGGGGCAGAGCCAGCAATGGAGGGGTCCTGGCTCCCAAACCTCTGTGGTGGTCACTGGAGGCACAGTTCTGCACTGCCTTAATCCTGATACTCCTAACCCCCTTGCTGGTTTATTAAAGGCATCCTCTGAAGCTGATTAGCAGCCCTGCCTGAGAAAATCATTGCCCATCAGTGCTGGGCAGGGATATATTTAAAACTTATATAAATGTTGGAATAAGCACATTGGTTTGAATTAGAAACTCTAAACTAGGATTGTCAGGCCTGAAGCACACAATGTGTTGCACTACCAAGACTGCCAATAATGGCCTTTGTGGGCAGGGTTTTTCTCAGGCTTTCAGGATGAGGAAGTCACTTTGGAGTTTGTTCCTTCCCTCTTCAGCTTGTTATGTAAGCTTTTAGATAAGGAAGGAAAAAATCCTGGTGTGGCCAGGAGTAGCTCTTACCTGCATTCAACCTGTAAATGATTATAAAAGCTTGCAATAATGTTATTTACTAAAACTCTGGAGCCAGTCAGGAGCATCAGATTAAGTGAAATAAAAAAATATTTTCAGGAATTCATTTCTGCACTGGGCTACAGAAAGAGGGGGGCATTGTCATCACCTGATCTGGTGAACACTGCTGTATGTGGAACGGAAGCACAAAGGAAAGGGGGCTGTGTCCTGTAGGAATGATGATCTGATCCTCAAATGCTGGCAGGCTGAAGGCAGGAGGGAGGCAGCAATAACAGAGTTGGGGTGAATGGTGACTGGTTCACTGAAGTCAGGACTCAGCCCACAGCTCAGCAGGTAGTTTAAATTCATCAGAATTGAGCAGAGCCTAGAAATTGTCTGTGTCACTGTTTGACCTTAGAGTGGTGGGTCAAGGAGGTTGTCCAGGGCTCAGTATCTTGCTTGATTTTCTTGTTTTCAGCATCTCAAGTGAAGTATTTACTATAGGTATATTCTTTATGTGAGCAGAGCTATCCTCTCATTTGTTTCCAGAAACAATGCATTTTTTTACCAGATCTTGGAGGAAAAAGCTGACTTCTGTGATCTCTGAGAAGGAATTGGACTGTTGGGAACAGCCATTGAGTGAGATGAGAGAAATGTCTGTGAAAAGGCTTCTGCCTTCTGTTATTCAAGGGGGCATATGTGAGCATCCAGGCTTGTGAGAGAGCAGTGCTCTGGGGCCCCTCGGGCTGGGATTTGCTGTCCAGATGTGGAGGGCATAAATGTGATGCTTGTAAAGAAAGGTGCTGCCCCGAGAAAGGGGACAGTGGGAGGCCAAAGCTGATGCCAGAGTCTGGGATGCAGCACGTGCTGAGTTTTTCTCCATCAGCTCACAAGTCACTCAGTGCAGCCTCAGCTGGACTTGCTGCTGGTGTGGCTGCACCCAGAGCCGTGGGCAGGGGGTGGCTGTGCCCTGTCCTCGTGCAGTCCCAGCTCTCCACGTGCACAGCGTCCCACCCACGCCGTGCCTGTGCTTGGCTTCCCCCTCGTGCCAGCGTTTGGTTCCCTGAAATATTGTTCCAAGAGTGACTCTCAGGAAGGAAAACAGCTGACAAGAGTTTAAAATAAACTCAGCAATGCTGGTATATTTTGATGAGTATTTCCTAATTATCTTCTTGTGTCTAAGTGGAGTCTGGCTTATAAATGTCTCAAGTTGAAGAGAGGTGCTTGTTATCTCTGCCTTCCACCTGTCTCCCACTCTGTAGAAGAAGCCATTTTATTTTAACCCCTGTTATGCAAGCTCAGGATGTTTCTCAAAGTCCTTGGTGTATGGCCAGATCTGGGGCCACCAGGTGAGGATAGCTAGGATAATCTAGCTTGCATTGCCTTTTTTGTTCTAGAAGGTTATGGGATAGACAAGGCAGAGCATTGAGCTGGGAAGTAGATCTACTAAGTTTGGATCCTCTTCTAGAAGATGTACAAATAAAGCACAGACTTGACATCTGTGAAACTGTTACCCTGTGTCTTGGAGGATCAGCTGCTCATCATCTGGAGCAAGATGTGGTGCTTGCAGCACATGAATGTCCAGACTTCAGCAGTTTGTGCCCATGTTGTGGGGCAGAGGGAGAGAGAGGATGGATGGACTTGATTTAACCTGTTTTATAGCAAAGTGAGTATTTGCCTTCCCTACCAGCAAGATGAGAGTAAGCAAGTTGAGCTTATGTGTTTAAGAAGTAAAGGTAAAGCTGCAGCCCAGAGTTTTGAAGGGTATGGGACTGCTCTGTGCACAGCCTGCTTTATCTGGGATCTTAATCCTCAGAATCTGGTATTTTGAAATGACCCTGAGCCAAAAGAAAAATACAGCGAGCTTTTTCCAGCCATGTGTGACACATAAATCCCGGCTCTGGAGCATGACACCTCATTAAGCCAAGGGCAGGGTTATCTTTGTGGAGCTAGAACAGTAATTCCAGTTTCCACAGAACTGTAAACCAAAGAGAGCTGGGGGTCTGCTGGGCTATCTGTGGGCAGCGCTCTGCACAAGGCCAGAGTTGATCTAGTTGTGGTATTTGTGCTTCTCCAAAGGTCAGGGCTGGAAAACAGTGATGTGAGGAATTCCCTTAAACCGCTGACTGCTAAAATCTGGAAATGGGCACAGTGCTACAGCCAAAATCTCCGTTTCTGTGGCTGAGAGGTTTTGCTTCACACTTGTACAACCTACAAGCCTCCGTGTGGCTGCTGCCTCTTCACAGTGGTAGAAAGGCAGAGTTGGGGCCGTGGAGTGAAAATGGATGTTGTCAGACTAAATGGGATTTCCTGGGTGATTTAAGGCCTCGCTGTGACTGCCCTGCAGTGGGGGTGCAGCTTATTTACTGTCTCCCTCTGGTGACTCTGTTTCAGGAATCAGCTGTTGCAGTGGCAGGCGGTGGGGAACCCTCGATGCAAGGGAACCTGGAGGAGAATTCGCCAGCTGGACACTTGCTCCTGCCCTTCTGTTCACAGCTTCTTGTTCATCTGACTTCCCCAGGCAGCCCCAGTGCACCAGGGCTGTGGTGCCTCCTCTGGCAGCAGCGGGAGCCCCAGGCAAAGCAGCGACTGCTCAGTGTCAGAGGGGGCACCCGGAGTCCTCTGTCTGTCTGTGCTCCTCGATTTCCAAAGAAATCAGGCTGGCTGGGAAGTGCCAGTCTCTTTCTTCCCTGAGAGAGACATGTCTGACCCTGATGACTTCTTGCAAATCCCTCCTTTCTTGAGAGGATAGAGAATTTACCAAGTAACAAATACGACAATAAAGGCCGTAAGAACCCAGGTTTAATTATTCTTTTTCTAAAGTCTCAATGAAGAATCAACAATGCAAAGTAAATTAACTCAAGTGCCTCCTTTTCATGGCAATAGCACTTTGTGGATGCTTCCTGCTTGTGCTTGTGTGTCTTTTCCTTCTGTTTTCACCCTCCCTGGTCACATCATTTCATACTGACCCTCATTCTTACAGAGGGTTGATCTTGCACTGCTGAGTTAATGTCAGAACTTAGAAATGAGTCTGCTCAAATCTGTGAGAATAGCAGATATCAGGGACAAATGGCCCTTGGACTTAAGGTTTCAAGGAGCATCTCTTGAGTTGCCCCAAAATGCAGTGCAGTCCTGGGGCTCTAAATAGGAAGGGCTGGCTATAGCCTTATGACTGGGAAATATTTGAAATATTTTCCTTAAAATCTGCTGATTTCTATTCATACTTTTCTATAAATGAAAATAAAGGAGACTGAAGATATTATCCCAGTGTCTGTCTGTTTGATTAATCTGTGTGATGCCATTTCTTTAGCACCTGAACCTCCCTAATTTTTTCCAGGCTTGCCACTGACTCCTTAGCTCCAGCAGGTCAGGCTGAAGGAAAAGTCACTGCTGCCCAGTTCCAGAACTACTCAGGATTTCCCAGTGGAAGTGCAGCACCACGACCTACCACTGTGCAGAAGCAGATGTGATATTTCTTTTGTTATACACATGCTTCTGAATCTGCTTGAAACCAAAATTACAGACAGGGCTTGTGCTTCGGGGCAGAGGCGCTGCAGGGCAAGGTCGAGGTCATTCCATCTGTCACACCCAGGTGAGAGGCTGGGGCTGGCAGAGTTTTAATGCTCAGGTTCAGTTCTAGTCTGGAATAGGATCACAAAAGCCATCTAATGACCATGCTGAAGGTCTTGCATGGAGACATGAATGAGCACTGAGGCGTGTGGTGGGCACTGAGTGCTCAGAAAGTGCCTGATGTCCTTGGCCAGTACAGAAGGGATTTGAGAGCAGGGTTCTGCTTCTCATTGTGTGTTACAAGCTGGCTGTGGATTAGTGACTCACAGGAGGATAATCTCATCCCAGAGTAGCAAGATTTTAAGACCAAAAAAAAAAAAAGAAGTCTTGTACTTCACTGTGTCACATAACCTGTGATGAACTTGTGGCTGTCCCAGGAGCACTTGCTGGCGTGTGAGTGGAGGGATGTGATCCCAGAAATGGGCTGGGAATAAATAACTGTAGAATGTCATTCCGGTTTTTGCGGTGAAGATTTCTGTCAAACTGAAAGCCAGCTTCATCCCTTGGAGGGGATCTGTAATCAGAGTAGCATTTAGTCATTGGAAGGTTTTCCTTGTCCTGCAGAAGCCCCTTATTGAGCCACAGGCCATATAGAGGTGGGTGGTCATTTCAGGAACAGAAAGGAGCCAGCTATTGGAAATGTTTTTTACTTTCAAAATCCACCCAAACTCTTGATCACATGAAACCCTGCTTTTACCAGATGCTTTCAGAATTGAAGACTGAAGCTATAAAAGATGCAATTTTTGCTTAGTAATGCCTAAAAAATTGAAGTCTTCCACAGGGGTTTTCTTTGCTGCTGCCTCATCCCCGAGAGCTGATAACATGAGGTGCTGTCAAGAGCTGCTGGTGGTGGCATGGTAGGACAGTGCTTTCCTCCTGTCACTGTAGCCTGGGCATGCAGGAGTACGAAAGAATTAGCCCCCGAGGGGCTCTCATAGCAGCTGTATTTCTGCACAGGCTGTCACTTGATGAAACAAGACACTGCAAATGTCTCTGCATCAGCACATCCTAAAAAGGGCTGTACCATGTGCTGGCTTCACCTCCACACCTTGTGTGACTGCACAAACAAATCCTGTTGGTAAATTCCTGGGGGAAGGAATTGTGTATGTGTGAGAGAGAGAGAGCAAGAGTGAGCCTTTTAAGTAGATAATGAAGCTGTCAGATCACTTTTCTGGCAAATGAAAATGAGCTCATGCTGTTGACACGTACTGGGTCCTGCCTGTTTCCCTCTGGAAGCTTTATCACCATCCGTCATAATCTCCATAATTTCTACTACCTGAGTTTTAGGAAAGGTGAGACTCTTGGAAATCCAAGGCAAAACGCTCCCGAAAAATGGCTTTGTACAGTAAACAAGCAAGGCAGCCTCACATGGAGGAGAGGCTGCTCTCCGAGGAGCAGAGCTGTTCCCATGACAACGCTGAAAACCTTCCACCATTGGGTATCAACGGGAGAACATCTCCCACGGCAAAAACACGGAGCCAGGAGCTCAGTCCTCATCTTCCATAAATCATCCTGTTGGGCTCTGATAATGCAGAACTGCCAGCTGTGAAAGGAGGAGCAAGTAAAGCCAAAGCACCAGCCAGTCGGATTTATGTGAAAGGAAAATTAAGCTCAACTGATGCTCCTACACTTCCCTCTACTCTCCAGCTGAGGATCTCAATTTTTAATGATGAAAAGCCAAGCAAAAAAATCCAGGCCCTTTTGGAAGCTGCTGAAGAAGCCATGTCATTTTCTGTTGGAGAGAAATCTTTCATTGTCATGGGGTGGTGGGAGAACTGTGCTTTTCCTCACCCTAACCCTGTAGTGTCCAGCCTGGAATTCGGCAGCTTTCTTCTACATTTGAAACAGAAAATGGTAAAAGACCATTTTTTACAGGGTCTCTTCATTAGGTGCCCTGGTATGTGGGGTTGCAGTCATCTGAATGTATGTGGATCTGCTTCTTTCCTTAAGGAAACAGGCCTTGTGCATTTAGAAACAAGAGATAAAATATGCCCAGAAAGCTCAGGAGCCAAAGGTAAAGGAAAAGAATGACAACAAAAAAAGTAGTTTTCTTAAATAGTTTTGTTGCTCTGAGGACAAACTGTTTCTTTTGCAAATTGAGCACGCTCTGCTGGAGTGGTAGGAGTCAGCAATACTTCTTAATAAATGAGACTATTCTGTTTTCTTTAGCTTTCCAAACCTAATTTTTTTTTTAATCCTTCATTTTAAGTATTTTGAGCCTTTAAATATTAAGATCACTGTTTCTCTTCTCTCTTTTTTCCTTTTTTTTCCCCTGTCTTTTTTTTTTTTTGTGAGGAAATTTGGAAGTTCTTTCCAGTTTTAACATTAGTTGCTTGGTGATTGTCATGATAGTGCAAGAGGAGGAGTATGGGTGAGAAAGGAGAGAAGAGTCTGAACCAGCAGAGATTATTCTGTTCTGTAAATGTGTCTCCTGCAGCCTAAAACTACAAACCCAAATATGAGAAATATTAAAAAAAAAAATGGTGAGAGAATCTCAGTTGCTTAGACCAGAGGCTTTCCACAAAACTGGCAGGGAGTGGATTTTCCAGAGGCTCTGAGGAAGTTGGGTGAAGCTGAAGGTTTCAGTGCTGTCCATGCTTTGAGCAGCCTGTACTGTGCAGGCAGGAGCCCACTGGAGGTCAGATGGTGGGGCCAGTAGTGTCCACCCTGGACTCACAGCTGTCTGGAAGAGTGGAAAATGGCCAGATCCATGAAAGGAAAAGTCAATTATGGAAGGTTTTGTTCAGCATGACTCCATCACCTGTTGATCAGAGGGGAGAGGGAAGGGGGGTCAGAGATGATTTAAGATCCCAAACTACAATCAGACCTGCTTGTTCTCAAATCTCTGCCTTAGAACACAAACAGAGGGAAATAAAAAAAAAAAAAAACAAAACCCAGTTCTCATACCAGCTCGTGTCCAGGCTGCTCCTCGGCCTCTGCCATAGGGGGGAGATGGTAAAGCTTAATAAGGAACTTCATTTTACACAAGATCCTGGCCCTGTAAAGCACTGCATTATAATTGACTGTGTTAATTTGTGTGGTTAGTTTGCTCCTTTTCTTAATCTTTGCATCTATTAATTATTGCAGAACATTTCTTCCTGATAACTCCCTGGCAGTTTGTGCTGCTGTTCTGAAATTATGAAATGATGTAGTTGGCAGAATGGGTACAGACATGTACAGTTAATTGGCTTTTTGCAGAAGGAAATTGCATAGTATAATAATATGCCCAGGGTGCCATGGGAAGTGCAAGTTCTTATTGCTTTAGTAAATAGGATTGGGAGAATATGAGTCTGGATTATATATCATCCAGGCTCATATATATTATATATATATTATCCCAAACTTGTGGAGCGTTTCAAACCCCTGTCACTGACCCCTGGAGTTGCTGGGAGGCCTCCTGTTGGTTTTCCTCAGCTCATTCATGTAGGTAACAGGTTTAACTGGAGAGAACCAGGGTCACTGCTCTGGTTGGAGGCTGTGCCTGGAGTCCCAGGAATCACACGATGGGAAAACGTGGTGGGTTGTGGAGGCTGGTGAGAGGTGGGCTGGGAAAACCCAAAGCTCTGCTGGGAGGACAGAGCACTTCTTTTCTCACCTCTTTCTTTAGGAAGTAGGATTGAAGTCACAGAGGAGATTTTTCTAAGTGAGAAAGGTTGTTGAGAATGAATGTTTTTAATTTCCTGCTAAATGCAAGTCCCAAAAACAAGGCTTTTTTTGTGCTGGTTTTTTGTTTGTTTGTTTTTCCCTAACCTGAATGCACAATCTAGGGTCAACTTGGAAGGTGTTGCACAAACTGGGCAGTTTTGGTGTCTGCAAAGACTTTCTTAGATAAAAATGTGAACAACTTGAAGGCAATTTGAAGGATAAATGGAGGTTGAAAGTTTATTTCTGGTAAGAAACCATTTCCTTTGAAAAAGAACAACTCATCCCCCAAAAAGTGTGAGTAGCAAATGCTCCTTATTTGTACCTGCTGCCCTATTTGAAAATGTTGATAATTCGGTATCAGGCTCAGCACTTTGATGTCTCACAAGTGCTGTTGGCTGCAGCAGAGGGGCAAGGCCTGGCCCTGATGCCACATTCAGCTCCTGGCCTCCTGCACCCCCCTGGAATGCAGCCCTTCTCCCTTTCATCTTCTCAGCTATCAAAGGGGGATTGTAAAAACCTTCCCCTTTCTGTGACGGGCTCAGGGTCCCTCAGAGAGATTCTCTGGGTGTGGGCACAGCTCATCC